TGGGGTGTTTTCTCTTAGGTTTTTATTCTTGGTAGTAAGTGAATGCTGGCATTTTATTTTGAAGTACTGTATATTATCTTAGTTAAGAGGTTGCCCAATAAGTATGCATTTTCTTTATTAAAAATGGCATTTTCATACTTGTAACAAAAGAATAGAATTTCTCAGGATAAAAGGTAAAGCAAATTACAGCATAAGAAGGCCCAGCTGAGTCACAGCATTTGACCATCCAGCTTAATGTTCTCCAGCTGAGAACAAGGAGAAGTGCTATTTGGGGAATAGCATTCTTTTATTTTTTTTATTTTTTTCGTGTGTCCCAGAATTGCATTTTCAGAGGCATAATTTACTGGTACAGTTTACCTCCACAATTTTGAGATACAGCAACAAGTTATAAAGAGTACTGTTGTCTTTTTATGGTATTTTATTTTATCTGCTTTAATGTAATCTCTTTCTAGCTTTATTGAGTGGTTCTTAGTTCTAGCATTATTCATTTAGCGAGTAATAGTTTTGCAGTCATTCGCTGCATTCAGAAAATTCTGAAGGGCAATCATGTTGCTTTTGTGTTGTTCTCTGCAAATTAAGGAGTTTTAGCTTTCTTAATCTTTCATTGTAGGGCAGCTGCTGAAAACCTTTAATCTTTGCAGTTGCCCTTGCCTGTATTTCATTGAGTTCCCTGTACTTTGGAGTGTAACTCAGCGGAGGTGTGGAGTAGCATGTGCTGCTCTGCTCCTCTGGAAAAGATGTTGTTAGGGTAGTGGGGTTTTTGAGGGGGCTGGGGTGGTTTATAACTATATTCTTCTCACTTATTTTTAATATGTTTCCTGAGGGATACCCAGTGCCAAAGTTGTTTCACCTGGACTCCTGCTGTGTGTTGAGCTGGTGATGTGAGAGAAACATTAACGATGACTCTAGGAAGCGTTCTTCATATTGTCACTTTCAGTTCTGGACTTTTGATACAGGTTTTAGATCAATGTTTCTATGCATTCAGGAACTTGAAAATTCATCTGTTATCTTTTAGCATGCTCAGTTTTACAAAATTTCTTGGCTTTTTTTTTGACTAGGTCTTTTGATATGGTCTTTTGTTTAAAATCTTGTATCTGCAAATACAGGTGACTGCTTTTATGTGATACTGATTTTCCTGGCCAAAACTTTATTGAGTGTCAGAAATGCTTTTAAGCTGATGATGACACTCATAATGAGGCTCCATGTCTGTGTGTAAATAAAACACACATAGGCAACATACAGCCTGCTTTCCAGTTTTTTAATACTTCAGTGTGTGTGCAGCCAAGACATGTTTGTCAGTTTTTGAGTTAAATATTTTGGCAGATCTCTGGTGGATGATAGTGAAGTGGTAATGTTGTATGGGTGAACTGATTCTGATTGAGCAGATAAGAGAAAACAGTGTAAATTATTACTCTTGTCATTATTAGTCCTTACTTTGGTAGCTCCCACAATACTCCTGGTGGTGCTTGTAAATATGGGAATACTTGTTCCTTTCTCCAAGGAGATCACAGGAAGTGCAAATAACAGATGAAAGTTGGGGGCATACTATAATCAGCTTAAAATTAAAATCAGCTGCTTGTCAAATTGGGATCATAAGGGAAGCAAGACATGGGAAAAAAGAATTTAATGAAAAACATAAGGAAAATATATTTGGAAATGTAAATAAATAAAATTTATGTTCTACCAATCTAGTGGTAACTTCTCTACTCATTTATAAACTTCTTTCCAGAGAAAAAGTTCTTTAATAAAAATATGCATTCAAAGAGATAATTTTCTTGTAATAGTTTAAAATGATCACTAAATTCAAGATGAATTTCTAAATCTAAGCTGGCCTCAAAGGACTGGAGGAAACTTCTAGAATTAGAACTTTTAGAAAAAGACTTTTATCCAGGATAGTTTGCACTATTTCTGTACTTAGAAGCATGTTGTCAAAATATAGCTTTTAATCTGCTTTTAAGCACCCTAAAAACAGAATTGTTGCATGGAAGATGCAACAATTCCCTACAATTTATGCAAGTTTCTACAGACCTTCACATTGAAAATTACATTCCCGCTATTTCTGCATTTGTCTTCAAACTTAGGTTAAATTGCTCTTCTGTTTTGCTTATATGAAGTAATATACATGGAATTAAATTACTTTCACTTGTCTGTAGCCATCTAAAGGCATCAAGTTTGATCTCACCCTCAGTTATGTGCTTCTGATACTTCTATTGCCATTCTCATGTCCTGGAGCTCCTAGTATGGTTCTGTACAGGAGGGTGCAGACTTTTCCCGTGTCCCCTGTCATGTGCGACAGCTTTTTACAAAGAGATGAAAAGGCAGCTTGCATTTCGGCACCTGTCATAATTCTCTCCTCCAGACAGCTAAGAATTAATTTCTCTTGACCAAAAAGTTAGCCAAATAAAATTATCTTGAAAATAATTTTTGTAGTTTTAGGCTTTTTTCTTGTTTGTTTTTGTTTTTTTTGCTGTATACAGGAAATAAACTATCTTCGTGCTTTTTGTCTTGTGTAGTTACAATACATATAATCAATTAATTTTTTTTGTTTGGATGTGTTTAAAGTCCTACAGTTAGTGGCATTTTATGAATTACTAAATTATAGTAATTATAATTATAATAATAGTAGTTAATTATAATCCATGAAAAGATAGAAGTTTTTTTTGACATGATGTGTGCAGGATACCTGGATATATAAAAGACATACTTCTTTCCTGAATTTTGCCTTTCAAAAGCATGTTTACTACTAATATTCTTGTATATTGTTTGATGAATCAGTTCTATGGTGTCAGGAACTTAATACTATTCCCTGAAAGCTCATAAATAAAATTAGACCTAGATACAATTAAATTTTACTTAGGGATGTATGTGATCTTCATTGCACAAAAATTTCTTTTCCTACATATTGAAAATTCAGTTATTCTGACCAATTCTAAAATAACAAATAATGTAAGCTTTGTATCAAAATACTGGTTATCTATTTCATGATTATTAGATAGTTAAATAAGGGCAATATATCTTTCTTCAGATGTTCAATTAAGATTTCTTAAAAGATTTTTAATCAGAGAGTTTTTGGAAATGTTGGTAGCCTTTGTTTTAAAAATGGACCAGACAAAAACCATCTCTTCAGAATTGTGCCACATGATTTGTGCTGGGTATCAGTGGATTTTCAAATTATGGCTAAGCATCCATATAGAAATCCAGTATTTTTTTTGTGTTGTTTTGTTTTCTGTAGAAAGGAAGGAAATCTATTACTATTAGTATTAACTGCAGCATAGCAACATAGGAATCAAAAAAAGCAGAAATGAGAAAGCTTAGCATATTCCAGTATAAGCAAAGGCTGTTGCCTTTTTGCCTAAGGAAGGTTGTAGCAAGGAAGCAAATCCAAAATGATAAAAAAATATTCTGGGGATAGGTGCAGGAGGTTGGGAGGATAGATTAGCTATTCTAAGCATATGCATCCCAGGATCTAAAGGGTGGTGACCACACCACACCTGCAATGATTTATGAAAGTCATGGAGAACTGAGAAGCTGGCACTGAGATGGGATAAATGTATCGCTGATAGAAAGCATGATCCAAAAATTTACTTTATTTTTACTAAAATTTACTTACAACACTGTGCAAGAGTCCTAACTTTAAGTCTTGGTAATATACAGAAACAGATGCTGCTTTTGCAAGCTCTCAAAGCTTACTGAGTAATAGAATAAAGAAAGACTGAAGAATCTCAAGCACCAGTAACTTCAGAGGAAAAAGAGATACAGGGAGCTTAATGTACATAAAATCTAATAAAGTATTTGTGACAGTAAAAATTAATAACAGTGATTTTCAAATTTTTATTGAAAAACTAATGGAAATTGACCTGAATAACACAGAGGCTGAAAACTGTCCAAAAGACTGAACGTAAATAAAAGATAATGATAAGCAACAGTATATTGAGCTTGGATGTGAAGGGCAAGAAGTGTTTAGTGAGATGTCACAGAGATCAATTTTATGTCTGATCTAATTTAACATTTTCATTAGTGATTAACAAATGATATAGCCATCCTGTTAATGAGTTTCTTCAGATAAAGATGTACTAGAAAGCAGCACAGGCCAATGAAGTTAGTTCAGAGATCTGGAGAGGTTAAAAAATGTGAGGATGCTATTTGATACAAGAAACCACAGTATTGAATATGTTGTGAAAAATCTTTAAGACTTTTCATCTTAAAATAAGATAAAATCTATCTTTAAGGTAGATAATTGAGGGTTGTTTTTTTGGGGGGGGGGGGGTTTGTTTTTTTGGTTTTTTTTTATAAGCACACCTATTGTTGGGGTAACAAGAAAATAACTGCAAATCCTGATAAATAGGTGCCATACATCTGCAAATAGATGCATGTGCCAGGCAAGAGGAAGATGGCAAGTGCCTTGGTTTCCCCTCTATAGTGTTTACACATGAAGTAGGTTGGCATTTCCACAGTTGCTACCATGTCCACAATAGCTAGTTCTTCTTTGCTTTCTGGCCTCATCTGTACTTCATTTTTTCCAATCACCTACAGACAGCAACATAAACTGGTATAATCAATATAAGCAGAGCAAAATAAAATAAAAGAATGATCCCTTATTTGAGTTAATTTACATGGACTTTCAGGCTCAGACAGGAAATACTTCTCCAAGAAGTGAATCAGAAATTCACATTTATAAACAATTTTTCATAGGGAAAAAGAAAATTGGAATGCACATCTGGGATGTAGAGTTTGAATGCTGCTTTGAAAATTTCGCTTTGATATTTAGTTTGTTTGCTTGTTATCTGATGAATTTTGATAAATGTTCCAAGTCCAGCTTGCAACAAATGACCAGTATGCCTTTCATGTGACTTCTGTTGCAACTTTTGTTTGCTTTTTGCATGGCAGGACAACTTAATGCCCTGCTTTGTGCTAAGGGACAGGATTTTCTAGAACAATTTGCAGTGCAAGCTGAAAGTTACCTTTTGGCTGACTGGATCTTTCCTTTTCTCCTGACTTAGTTTCCCACCTATGAACCCATAGTGACTTGGATTAGCAGTGGATCTGAGAGCTACAGAAGCTGCTACACAGAAAGTGAGGAAATAAAATATAGGTGGAGGTACTAAAAAAATATATATACTTTTACTTAAGATTGTAATGGAGTTTCAACATTTGAAATCCCAAGGCAGTGGGGAACTGTGAACCTTAGCACAGTTGAGCTGGGTGGCTTCCCCACATCACTTAGTAGTCATGACAGAAAGAACTTTTCTGTTTGTATGTTGATTTCCAGACTCACCTTGAAGAATGACATGATGATATTAGCTAAATAAAAATTTGCAAAACAATTGATGGCAATAACCACCCTTGTCTGGAGTGCTTGCAAATTCAACATTTGATTTTCACTCTTTATTTTTGAATTTGGATTTTCCATTCTTAAGCTGAGAAGGTTAAAGTTTGCCTTTATTCTATACATTGGAAACATGACAGGTTTTTCTCATGTGAATGGATCTCGGAAGGGTTGCTGCACTGTATATGCTGGATCTGTAATATGTATTTATGCTGAGCAAAATATAATACAGAATTACTGGGTTTCATAACCTGTTTTTCCCTATATCCTTTATGGGGAAGTCAGATGGAGTACAAGAGGAGATTGGACACAGCGTACGTGACCTTCCTGGTTGTTCTTATACATCAAAATGATAACTTTCTTAGACAGCTGAAGTGAGCTACAATCAATCCTTTAATTAAAACTTTCTCAGTTTTGTTCATAACTTTCCAAATGCTGCTGGTTATAGAATAAATGAAGAATAAACATGTCTTCAGTGTTCCTCTCAGTAGCTGTGTAATCATTTAATGTGTAAATTATTTTCTCATGCACTATATTCATTTTGATCTTTAATATATGTGAATGTATATGCCTGGATTGTCAAATGCAGATTGAACCTGTAGGAATTATATTAAATCTCTATTTAGGCACATACTGATTTATGGATGTGGTTTGGTACATTTCAGGACTGTGAACACTCCCAGCACAGATGGGAACTGAGAAACCTTTTCTACCTCACTGAGGATTGGTAGCTAGGTATAAGATATGATAATGCTTGACTTTTGACATTCCAATATTTTCCTACACATATAGATCAAAAAAAAAAAAAAAAAAAAATAAAAGAAAAAAAGAAGAAAAGTCAGAAGGAAAATGAAGGAGGACTATTCTTAATCTAAATGATGCTTGAAAATGATAGGATTAAAGGTCCATTTTCTGTACTCAGTTAAGAAACATATTGACAGAGACATTGCCCATAAATTACGGGAGAATAATCTTTCCTAAATTACATAGCTAGGTAATTTCTTCTTAAGCTATTTGGCTGATGCTCCTTAGTCTGTGTGGCTTGCAATAAAAAGCTTACAATTCAAGAAATATTTTTATTTTCAGACAAGGGATACAGAATGCAAAACACTTCAGCAGAGAGTGGTTGAGACATCTGGTCACCAGTCCTCAGCGCTGGTCCATGGATAAATTGGAGTAGCATCGGATATCCAGAAGAGGGCACTTGTGGCTCTCCAGTCTGTCTGCTCAACCCAAAACCCTGTCTGCACTACAAACTTCTTGTGACTGGGGGGGAAAAGGCTGGAGGGACTCTTATCTTAAATGAGCTGAAATACTAATAAGCAATTATGGGTTATGCGTAGCATCAGTTGGAAGATTTGCTTGCAGGTTTCTGCTATCAATGGGCATATTTATCACACCAGCTGCTATCAAAAAAGAACACCACCATTCAAGTGCTTTCAGAACTGCAGCTGATGGCTGCAGAAAGCCACCCTTGCACCAAAATGACTAAAAGCGTTTTCTGCTTAAAGTTTAGTCCAACCTATTAGGTTAATAAGTATTTAGACAGTGTCTCTGGGCGCTTGGGGGCAAGAAAAATTCTTTTTCTTTATTTGTTGTGGAGGAAAGAAAAAGAATAAAATGTTGATGGAATGTTGTACTTGATGCAATATAATTGAGGTCTCACATGGAAAATAAGCTACAAAAAAATTTGACTGTTAAAGTTTTTAAACTCCAGCTAATTATGCCTTTGAAAACAAAGTAGGTGTTTGAGTGTGATAGATGGAGGTGGTGTTTATGGATCACTTAGCATTGAAACCATGACACCTAAGTTCTAGTATCTGAACAGAGCAGTCAAATTTGCTTTTGAAGAGTCAAATCAAGAAGACTTAGACACTTTAACTTCTGTGCCTAATAGATGAGCCATAAAATATGGTAACTTCTGAGGGAGATTATCAATGTGTATGAAGTTAGAGGAAAAAAACCTAATCTGATATTTTCCCTCATAGAAGCACATTTGGTAGTAGAACAAATATTTTGGAAGTGCCTATGTTGCAAAAAACCATAGTATTTTGTGCACAAAATTAAATTATTTTGAAAGTAATTTCCAGTTAAATAGTTTCTTTTTTTTTTAATTGGGAAAGTTCCCATGAAAAATTACAACTGAACTGAATGAGACCCTGTGTTACTGTGCAAAATCCTGACCTCCAATAAACCCCTCTTCCAAGGGGTGGTGAAGCTTTATAAACATATTTACCTCCACTGTTTTGCTGGAACTAACAGGACTGACTTCTTGTTTACATATCTTGTGTCATGTGCAGCATTCTGAAGGCTAGAGTTTAACAGTCTCCTGGGCTTCAGAAAAACATTTTTTAAAATTACTTGTAATGCCAAAAATGTGTTTGTTTTTACATACATACTTTGTTAAACTTTAGTGGAGTAGGTGTAGTGACAAATCTTGAGAGGTAGAAAGCAATCATTCCAACCTGTATTGACACCATTTAGTTTCCAATAAATGAATGTCTTTTACAATTACATCGGTTAAAACTTCCTTTTTTGCTGATGGTGGAGAATGCCAGGTGAGTGAGAATGTGTGTGTGTGCTCTCTCTGCTGGGAGGATGTGGAGTGGTGAGTAGCAGTGGCATCTCTTTGCGTTTTTTTATTAGCTACTTTTTGAAAATTAGTCTTGCTGAATGATTGAATTGTATACATTTTTAGCAACTCTCCTTCCAGTTGCTATAGCAATGCTGTGGCTATTGTGATGTGTGAGTAAAGCACTGGCTTTTGGGAAAAGATTCCAAGACCAGCTGATGTGGTTTGAATGAAAGGAAGAAGATATCTGACATAATTCCTTTGACCTGAAAGTTTGTTTTTTGTATTGAGCAATATTAGTTGAGAGAAGCCACTTTTTCCTATAAATTTTGCCTTGCTTAGTTTTTCTGCTGGGATTTCAACACATCAAACTAATTGAATAGTACTAGATACAATTTGTAAAGCAGTATCATCAAATTCATTCCAGTTATCCCTCTACACTGTTCTTCTCACCAGTGCCCTCTTGAGTTCTTATTAAGTGAAATTTGATGAGCTGTGATGATTGCAGGGTCACCTTCCTGATTCACAAAGAAGCTGCTGAGCAACAATATTCTACAAAGGATGACAAAACTAATCCCCTAATTTCTGCCCCTCCAAAGACTGTGTTGCATATCTATTCAGGTTGGCATGAATGAAAAAAAAAAAAAAAAAGGCATTTTTTATTAACATATCTATACAGTACCTGTGGCTGAGATGATCCGAAATTTAAACTACCATATTCTTACCAGTGACTGAAAAATATGTAAAGAAAAGAAAATAGCTGCATGCATTCTCAGGAAATGAGAGACCTGGAAGATATATATGACTGATGTGTCTACCTCATTTAAGGGGCAGAACTATGATGTTGTACATCAGATGAGGTTTGTCATTCCTAAATTCAAATTTGTGTATTGAAGAGTACCAAAATTGTAAATAAAAAGGCTGTATGGAAAATCTTGAGTGCACCTCTTCTATGAGATGGTAAAGATGAGGAATCAAGGAGTGTGAGGGGATAGGGAGGGATATCCATGCATGTTAGAAATGTGTCACAGTTGTGAAAACCCATGAAGACCCAGACTTGTACCTAGTTAAAAAAAAAAAAAAACCAACAAACCTCATGCATTTAAAAGTTCCAGTTAAATGCCTGTTACCATATACATACTTGGTAAATTTTCTTGTGTTAAAGCCAGCAGGAGAAGAAAACAAGAAAAATAGAAAGTGTTAGCATTCTTTTGGATAGGAAGTATGGTTCTAACCAAAGCATAATTTATTTTTCTCCTTGTTTTCAGAGACATTAATTATTGGTGGACTCCTGATTGAATCTGGAATAAGCATGAATCTGTTCTTGGTCTATGATGTATACATTACATTGATGAACAGAGCTGGTACTAATTAATATGTCCCACAGCTATATTTTCTTCAGCTTGCTAGAATTATTTTTTCTGCTGGAATGTTGTCTGAATTTTTTCCAGCAGACTCTTGTAATGGTTGTTGCTAAAGATAGCTGAATTAAGTATTTGCATTTTTTGAGAGCTCTGGGTAAGCATAATCTGGTAAGGATAAGATTGTAAGGACAGTAGAAACATACTTAATGAAGGGTCTAATAGGCAACACATGAAATTCATTCGAAGTCACATGCAGTACTAAGGAACTCAGAAAATTACTTCAGTCTATAGGAGCCTGATGAGAGAACAAATAATTTCACTAATTAAACCCTATCATTGGTAGGAGTGAATATGTTGAGGAAGCACATCTCATGATGGATTATAAGGAGACTACATAGATGCTGCCATAAGAACTGATGCCACACATCTGACTTCTGGCATCCAAAACCTGCACACATAACACAGCATCTAGGTCATGACCAATTGCTCAAAAATATAAATTATCATGTTTATCATACAGGCTTAATGACCTGCCTCATTCTCCTAAAACTTTTTCAAATTCTCCTGTCAACTGATATTTCATTGTGCTAGAAGGTATGGGATGGCTAGAAGAATTTTTGTAGCCAGTTGGGTCATTATCTCTAAAGTATGCAGAAAATGCTTCATTCACAAAACAAGTATCCAGGTACTCCAAGATGCAGAGAAACAATTTTATTATACAGCTCTAATAACATGCTATATAACCTATTCAGTTAAGTAAATGTTATCTTAACTGGTGCAAACTGTATCCTCTCAACTCTAATGGATTTTATTTATTCTTTAGTATCCCTTTGGCATATTGATTCAATGAATATGATCTACTGTAGCAGCAAAACTGATGTGCATAAGGAGGTCTTTGTTGGTTTTATCTCTTTTGCAGTCTGTCACTATACACTGCCATCTCTAATAAATTTATTCTTCCATCACATACACACCCCAGGCACTCACTGTAAGTTTCCTTCTTCCACCAGTACCATACTGCTTACTTTCTTAATTTGACTTCTGTCTCTTTCCACTAGCTTTGTTCTCTCTGCTTGTCTCTCTTAATACAAAACACATCATGATTTCCTATAATCTGAGAACTTTGAATCGTAATTACTCCATATGTCTCTCCCTGTATTTATTCCCTTTCAGTGCTTCTTGCTTTGCTTCCATGAATTTCATTATTTGCCTTTCAATCTGGCTTTAGACTCAATTCTAACAAGAGCATAGTAGTAAGTGCTCACTAGAAATACTACTGAATAAACAGCCCACTGTCAGCACTCCTTATCTGGTTGTTCTGGTTCTGATAATAATTCAGCAATTACCTCTGAACAGCCAGTTCACTCCTCCTGTGCTTCTCTTCTCAATTCTTCAATTATTTTGTCTATCTTCTCTTAATAGAGTGATTTGGAGAAATTACTTGCACAGAGTTAGCGAAAATAGAATCATGCAAGTGCAGAATGTTAGAGGTTGCAAGGTGCCTCTGAAGCTCTCCTGTTCCTACACCCTGCTTAAGGCTGGCCCAGTCATCCCAGTGTGTTCACTGAGTTTTGAATATGTCCAAGGACACCAATTGTATATCCTCTCTAGGCAACCAGTCTCAGTGTTTGGCTGTTTCTCTATGTGTTTTACCTCTAAGGATATTGTTGCCTAGAGTTTGTGCTGTTCTATTGTCCAGGGGGCTTCTCCTTGGAATCTAATATTCTTCATTGCTAGAAAGAAACTTTGTACTTGAACTGAATTTTGCCACTCAAGAAAATTCTTTTTGTCTGAGACATTACATAAAATTTATTCTTAGGTTTAGAAAGAAATTTCCATATGAAAAATTTCTAAGCCCATCATTAACAAATTAAAAGTAAAATAATATAAAACTTTCCTGATTGTTTTGTCCACTGGATAATAATTCAATGTGTTTTTTCACAAACACACCAGGAAAGCTGAATCACATTATTACTTTTGAATCAAGTATGTGCATTGTTTTGGGAATTCAGCACTTGTTTTTGTTGACACCAAAGTGAATAATATGAGAGCTGCATTTTCAAATGTTGAATCTTAAATTCTGTGTTTTCAAAATGCATTTTACAGGTAACTCTTAAAGTCAACACTGATTTAGGTGCCAAAGTTCCTCTCACAATAAGAATAAAATCAGAACCCCAAAGCAATATGGGAGAATATTGTGTGCTTGAATATGACAGCATTTTATCATAGCTGATAAAATTGCCTGTAAATTAACCAGTCATAACTAAAATAACACAGGCAATCTGTAACTGCAGCCATTCAGAATGGGATGTGCTAAGTCCAAGAGCTCTGCAACTCCCAGTTCTGTAACCCTGAGGAAATAGATGGACACTGCCATTCCATTATTATTCTTATATGACTAAGATTCTGTTTCCTATGTATGCCTGTTCAAGTACAGCCTTCAAAACTGAAAATTGAGTTCTAATCAAGAGTTTCTTAGGGCTGATCTGTATACATATGCAGTGTAGAAATATGAAGAAGGAAAGATAATCTGCTTGAATAGTAAAATTATGTAGGCCAGGATATCCCTATATCTCCCTCTTTCAGTCTGAAATGGTATTAGTTTGACTTGCTTTTAAACTCAAAA